TCCCCCCCCCTTTCCCCCCCCCTACAAGCATTGCATGTGTGGTGTGTTTTAGAAAGACTGGGGCTTTGATTGTGCAGCCAGGATCATCTACATGTAGAGTTTTTTGACCCTTTCCTTCCTTCTGGCCATTTCTTACTAGAAATCAGATTAATTTCAAGCCTTCAACAAGCAATCATTTCAAAGCCCTGGCAAAAAGTTATATGTTCTAATTGCTTGCAGAGAAAGAGAGAAAAGGGAATGAAAGAGAGGAAGATGTCAGAAAAAATAGGAAGGATTTGTATACCGGTAGTTCCCCACATCTTTAGCTCAGACCTGCCTTCATTTCATATGACCACAAGAAGATTGGAATTCAACCTTCAATAGAAGAAAGATTGGCCACTGATGTTATACATTAGATTAGTGGAATAAATGAAAGTTTAAACAAATGACTCTGCCCTATACTCTATCTAGTTTGTCCCCCCAGCCATTTAGCAAGCTGTTTTTCAGGTGAACGTGAATTTCAGGGCCTTGGAATCATCCTTCCAGTGGTTGAGACTTATCTTGATTCTCTACAAGTTACTTGGACTGAAATTATACCCAGCAGAAACCACGTTATTTACATCTGCTGAACAAGAAATTTTAGACTATTTTCATGATGCTTATTAGGGTCAAAAGCTGTAGTACATTAGTCTTACCCTGATAAAAATGCTTAGATAACCCTAAGTTTTAAAATAATGTCACCAGGGCAAAAAGCCTAATCATATTTGTTTTTATTCTAAAGGCAACATTTAGTTTCTTGTAATTCTGGACTGCTTACTAGGATTCATAAAAAAAGTATAAAATAATTACCAGGAAGTGTTGATTTGGTGAGAAAGTAGATCAACAATGCTATTTAATCGTTTGTACAACTTCCCATGAAGTACTAATACAGTCCTTGTTTTCTACCCAGAGCGTGTGGCTCTGGCGCTGGCTTGTATGCGCACTACATGAGCTGTACGGGGTTACAATGTTCTCTTTGTTCAGATTCTGTTGTGAGGCTGCAAGCACACTGATTCAGACAACAGAAGTACCTCAACAATGAGCTGGAGACACTCTTTTTGGGCTGTATTGATTTTTGAGGCACAAACCGAGAGACAGACTTTAGAGGTAGCATTTGCTAGCTGACCTGGGTTACTGCCCACAGCTTGCGATACATTTTATTTTTCCACTACCCTTTTTCCTGTATTGTCAACCTGCACGAGGACACTGAAGCAGCAATCTGGGCAGCATATAGATCTGTTTACCAGGCAGCATACAAAGCTCAGGTTATTTTTTGAAAAGAAGAGTGCCTATTGAACAGCATGAAATGTTTTTCAGATGAAAGTGGGAATGGTTACTGGATCGCAAGGAGATATTAAGCAATCACCATTAGAAAAGCTGGCTTCCCAGTGATTGGCATGACACATCTTGGCCCCAAACTGGAAAACAACATTAATGTAGCTTATTTAGTCATACAGTGTGATGAGTTTCAGCAGTCATCTTGGCTAGAAAATCTGGGACTTGCAGTCCAACATATGCGGAAGATGCTAAATTGGGAAAAGTTGTGACTGGTATCCTGATTCACAATATTGATTTTCTCTTTGAAAGTAACAATTTCTGGTTATAAGCAAAATAATGAGATTTAGGGGACATGCTGATTAAAACAGCAGGATTCTTGTGCGAGGAGTGGACTACAGAGTGTTCTGGTTTACATTTATTAAATTTCTGGGTGGATGACTTTGATTTCTGTCTTTGCACAGCCTTTAGCGGACACAATATGGGAAATTTTCATGTTTAACCTCAAGCTTCCGCATCCACCACTCCCCCCCCCAATATTTAAAGGGTAGAAGGGTTTGGTAATTCTCTTGTCACATCGGTGCTCAACCACACCATGCTTACATGCCACATAATTCGGGCAACACAAGTACAGCGATGGTTCGACCCAACACAAAATAAACCTCTCAGTGCACAAGTGATTTTCTTCCTCAGATCCACGAATTTCAGGCTTTGAAAGAGGGGCTTCTGCCTGTTCTACAACTCAAAAGATAGGAAGAAAAAGGGAGAGCGTGCCAGCAAGAAAGAAAAAATAAATAAATAAGCAAAACACCCCGCTTCCAAGGATGCTCAAACCGGATTCACATCCACGTTTGTTTGCGTCCTAGCAAGCCTTAGTTAGCTGTCAAGGTCCCTTTATAACGCTGCAATGATTCCAAATGCGTGTTTTTTTCCCCCTCCCCCCGCGCAAGGCAGCTTCCTTTCCATCTGGTTGATGTATATACGAAGCAAAAGTGCCAGCTTTCCCGCGGGGGAGAGGGGGGGGGGCGGCGGCGGCTATTCGCAGAAACCCGGGAGGCTTAATAACCGAAGAGCCTCGGTCTTTATCCGTCTCTTTCACTTCCCCTTTGACAAGCCGAGGGACGCCGCCAAAGGCATCTCGGACTCAACTCGGCCCGTTTGGACATCTCCGAGTAAAGAAGCAGCCCCACAGCTTCTCCACGTTGGCGGGCGAAAGGAAAGCAAAGGCTTCCCGATCCGGATCCATCCCTCCCCATCCCGGAGGGAAGCCCAGCCGTTTCCCCCACCCCCGTTTTGTGCAGTAGCGTCTCTTTCTTTCTTTCTTTCTTTCTCTCTCTCTCCATCCCCACATGTTAGCTTGCCGCCCCGATGGACGGAGGTCATCGGCGCTGAGTATAAATTAGCCCCGGATAAATTCTTCAATTCGCCCGGCTTTCCTTTCCTTTCCTTTTTTTTTTTCTTTCTTTCTTTTTCTTCCCCCTCTTTCGGCCGGCTCTCCCTTTCAGTGCCAGGCGTCTTTGTGCCCAATTAACAAGCAGCTCTTTTATAACCTCGGGAAATCCTGCCTTTCTCCCTAAATGGGAGAAAATGAAAAGATCCCAATCTCTCCCTCCGAGTCTAAGCCCCCCCCCCCTCTCCCCCCCCCCCCCCCCCCCCCCTCCTCCCCCCCCCCCCCCCGAGAGTCCCCCCCCCCCCTTCCCCCCCCCCCACCCCCTCTGGCTCTCACTCGGCGGAGCGCTTCAGTCCCGTTCACATGAAAATTATGCCAGCTCCAGTGGCGCGTAAAATTGATGTGAACTGAAAGAAGAAGCGGGATCGGCGCGATCTCCCCCCCCCCTTTTTTTTCTCTCTCTCTCTCTTTCTCGTCTCAACGGGGGGTTCGGCACGTTGCACAAGGCCGAGCTTGTCTCTTTAAGGAGACATTGGCCCCTAATTAGTCCGCATTCCTCCCGGTGTGGGTGATACAGCGGCGGTGAGTGGCACTGGCTGGGGGTGGGACGCAGCAAGGTTCAATGGAGGCCTTCTCCTCCTCTCCTCCTCCAGCCGCACACCTCCCTCATCGCGCCACCACCCAGCAGACAAGCGGCAGCGGCGGCGGCGGCAGCAGCAGCAGCCGCCCCACGTTACTTTGATTGACAGCTGAACAAATGTTTCCCCTGTTCGAACGCCGGCGCAATCGAACGTCAGCAATCTCAAAGCTCCACCTCGGGCAGAGGGAAGAAGGGAGGGTTGGGGGAGGTCCCTTTCAAACGGATCCTTCGGATTGGCCACCGCTCAGGACGCGTCACTTCCCCACGTGGGGGAGGTCGGCGAGACTCGTCTCTCCTCCTCCCTCTCCCCCCTCCCTCGCTTCCCCCCGCGCCGCCGAGCCGTAAGCCCATTTGTCAGAGGCGAAATGATGGGCATTAATACAGAACGGCGATTAATGAGTGGCCGCCGCTGATTGGTCGTTGTTGACGCCCTCGGTGGGAGGAGCGGTTGGGGGGAACTAGACAGGAGGCTAAAAAGGTTTCGTGCTGCCTGACGGGAACGGTAGTTTCTTATTGGCGTATGTCGTCGGTGTCAGCTCGAACGAATGCTCGGATGAAGGACTACGCGTCCCAGGATGCTCTGCGGCAGCCTCGTCTTCCGATTGTTGTGAATATGTATCAGAATGTTAATGATTCGCTGCTGCTAAATTTGGTCAAAGGAGTCACCTCGCCAGAGCGTGTTGTTAGAGCTGGTCAGAGCGGTGGGTTTGGGCTGCTGTTGCGGTTTCGTGTTATATTGTTTTGCGTTGCGATTTGCCAGAGTTGGAAAGGAAAAGGAGAGGATTTTTTTTTTTTTAAAAAAAGGAAAATAAAAACTCCTTTGATCAAGACCGTGTTTCTTCATTTTTAATTTTTTTTTTTTTTTTACAAAAGGGGAGGGAGAACCAGAACCATTTAAAGGGGAAGGAAGAAGGAAAAAAAAAAAAACCCACAACAAAAGGTTATTGCACTTAGCTATTTGAGGACGCGCATAATTGCTAGGGAGAAAGACGAGAATAACAAGCGATTCTTTTCATTTCGGGAGTTCTGAAAGCGGAGGTTGGTTTTTTTTTTTCTTCTTCTTCTTCTTTTCCTCTCCTCCCTTATCGCGCTCCTCTCCTTCGTCGCGAAGGGCCAAGCAACTAAGATCGATAAAAGTTTTCAAACGGAAGAGGCGGCTGCGAGAGGGATCTCGGCGACAGAATCCGATCTGGTATGAACGGAGTTGTCCTTTGCTTTCCCTTTGCTTGCCGTTTAGGGGGACGGAGAGAGGGGCAGCCGCAGTGAAAGCAGAGCCGACTCGGGGAATCGAGAAGCGAGCCGAGGGAGCTGGCGCCGCCGGGAGCCGCGAGCGAGAAGCCTTCCCAACGCCGAGACCTCACCGGGGAACCGGTCCACGCGCGGGGCGAGAGGCAGACGGACCTTCGGAGCGCCGAGGCCCTGGGCGTGGGAGCGCAGCAACCGGGGGAATCGACCGGGGCCTCGCCGGCGATCATGCACGCCGGGCAGTGACAGCCTCTGTGGAATGTTGCTCGGCTTCCCTTTCGCCGGGGAGAGAACCGTCGCCGCCGCCGCCGCCTCCTCCTCCACCTCCTCCTCCTCTTGTGTCTTCTTCTTCACTCGTGTCCGCGGGGTGGAAGAAGAGCCCGGGCAGAGCCGGAGGCGCTCTTCCAAGCGCCAGCGTCGGGCAGCTCCGTCCCTTTCCTCCGTCTCCTTTGCATTGTTGCCGTTCAAATCAATGAACCGAGTTTTCCGGCTGGCCCAGAGCACCCACTAAATCGGTTTGGATGATTCGCGATCTGAGCAAGATGTACCCTCAAAGCAGACACCCGGTGAGTAGCGGAGAGGCAGGGCGAAAGGGAGGGTGGAAGGAGGGGAGGGGGGAGATGGCGATTTTGGTGGCGCCCGTGGGGGGAGACGACACCCACCCAACCCCCCCCTCACCCGCGAAAGTCTTGTTTACGAAATGGGGGGAGCGGAACCGGGAGCTGGCGGCGGTGGCGACGGCGGCGGGGGACCGGCGAGAGAAAACAGATTAGGGACGATCCGCAAGAATAAAGAACAAATCTCTTTCCTCCACCCGCCATCCCCCCCTCCGCCTCCCCGTTTGCCTCCCGCTTTGAGACCGCAAACGAGAGGAAAGAGGGAGGGGGGGGGGGTGGTGGAAGCGACGGGGAGGGAGAGTTGGGTGAAACAATTGAGTTGTAGCCATTTTCTTATTGTTGTCTTTTGGCTTTCCGGGCTTCGCGATGTCAGGGAATATGTTTACACTACTTCCGTCTTGCTAGCCTTTGAAAGCTTCAAAGGCGATCTTGGAGTTGGGAGCGCGGAGCTTGCTTAAGCTGAATTCGGTTTCTGTTTCTCTCTGGGTGCGCTGTCCATTTTTGCCTTGTGATTTCACCCCCCTCCCCTCCCCACCCTCTTTGCTTACTCCTCCTCCTCCTCCCCTCCTTTTATCCTGATTAATAACAACCCCCCCTCCCCCCCGGGGGCAACTGTTGTCTACTTTCACCTTGCTCAGCTTTGTGATTGTGGGTGCTTTTGTTGGCACGGAAAGATGAGCAATCAAAGGCAAGACGCTCCCTCAATTAGAGAGGCTTACTTGAGGTGTGGACCAGACTTAGACTTTGTGCTTGTGCAGGGCAAGGAGAGCTCTTGTGATGAGGAAAGAAAAAAAAAAACAAACCCCGTGTTTGTATGTGCGCGCACACACCTTCCCCAAAGTGAGTTTTAATCGCTCTTTCCATCGGTGGTGGTGAGGTGACTTCACTGGGTGTGTTGATATGTGTTATGTGCACCAGCAGGCTGGCTTAACACAGGAGTAATTAAAATATTTTATATTCTGATGACCGCTTCTAGGCACCGCATCAGCCTGCTCAACCCTTCAAATTCACCATTTCTGAATCCTGTGATCGGATTAAGGAGGAGTTTCAGTTTTTACAGGCTCAGTACCACAGGTAAATTAATTGTGTTTACTTTCTCTGATCCTGCAACTTGTTTCTAGTTTGGCTTTTCTTGCCTCCTATTTGCCCTAAAATTCATGGACATGTATGGGGAGTGACCCCCTTCTTTACACAAATTATACACCTATCAGTATAAAGAAGAAGGTATCTTTCTCAGTCTAAACACTTCCAGATTGTAGCCTTGAAGGCTGTTCTTTTCAATCTTGCTTAGGATGCATCTCCATCTCTCTCTCCTTTTAAAATTGTGCTTTTCAAAGGGTAACAGCCCCACCAGAAGAAAAGACCCTCCCCTACTTTCTGAGGTCTCAGCTTTTATCAACCTGTTTTATCTTGTTGTCAAAGACTGACTTAAACTGCAACCTCTCTTAGCAGAACAAGGTTCCCAAATATTGCAAGTGTGCTTTTAAACATTGTCCCGAATATATTTGAAAACCCTTTATCCAGAGCACTTACATTTCTCCCTGAATTCACCCAAACAGAAGATTTTTTTTTTTTTGCCCCCGAAGCTTAGCCTTGGCAGATCTGTTACCAACCTATAAATAAAAGAGCTCTTATGAGTTCAACAAAGCACGATCAGAGAAGCTGTTTCAGAAATGGGAGCTTTGGAAAGGAGGAGGCTAACATTTCCCACCACCTGCTCCTCAAGTTGGGATTGCAAAGGGGAAAAGAAAGAAAGAAAAAAAAAAGGGGGGGGGCTTTTTGCTTTTCCCTCTCTTTTCTCCTGGGTGCATTTTGGTTTAAATATTGTTTGGGTGGTGCATTTGTTATTGCTCATTTTCTTCATTGGTGGTGTGACAGCGGACGATATCAAGTGCTGATTAATTAGACCTGGAGCTGGAGTGTTTGCTCATTATCCTTGGGGGGGGGAGACTTTATACTTTTTTTTGTTTTTGGACAAGAAAGGTTCCCCCCCCCCTTGTGGTTTGGTTTATTATTATTATTTTTCTTAAGTGGGAAGAGTGCAAGAAAGGGTTTATTGCTCACAAGATGTCGCTTGTGGATGCTGTTGTGCTGCTTTCTTTGAAAACTGAAAACCTTTCAACTCTTTTTGTCTCCGAGTGGTTTACTCTGAGTTACATTGTCTGTTTGAGGCCAAGCAAGATCACACGGAAAAACCAGTTTAGTGGTCTTTTTGAAAGAGATTTTTACAGTAGCATACAATGTTATGCTTTGGACATAATCAGCTTTCTCAGTTTTGGTATTTCAATATTTTTTCCCCTCTCTTTTTTTTTCCCCAGGAAGATTATTTGTTTTGCTTTTTTTCCACTCTCCTCCAAAATACCTTGTCCATTTGCTTCAAAAAGTTTCCTTATATCTTGTCTGAGAAAAAACCAGTGTAATTGTCAACAAAGGACACTAAAGGGATGTTCAAAGTTTTTTTTTTATAAAATTCATCAACGTTACATAAGTGACTTGCAGGGAATGCTTACGTATATATTAAGATATTTTAAAAAGTGATTATGTTTTATATTCAGAGATGGTTGTCTTTTGTCTCCCTTTCCTCCCCCTCCCAACAGTTTAAAGCTAGAATGTGAAAAACTGGCCAGTGAAAAGACGGAGATGCAGCGACATTATGTCATGGTAAGCAGCATAACCAGTTCAGAGTGTCTGTTTTATTAGTTTGGTCTTTGAACAGATCCAAACGTTCCAGTTGCTGCAGGCAGCTAGCTAGTGTGCCATAGGGATGCTATTAAGAATGAAGGTGCCAGGATAAAAGGCTGGGTTTGAAACCCTTTTTTGAATGCTTAATGTTGATAGCCCAGGTGTGAAGTTTACCTTTTATGGTTGCTCAGAGTCCTCTTGGACCTTTTTATGATCAAGCTTCTCTTGAAAGTGATAGATGCCCTCCATGGGTCCTGCAAGGCTGAGAGCCCTTTAAGATTGCACTCTGTATTTTAAGTATACAGAATCCTTGCACCCCTTCATCTATTGACTGATCCGGGTAATGTCTGCATTTTCATACAGCTTCAAAGGGAAAGCTGACAGGTTTATGCTATTCCCTTCCCTTGAGATGTGGAATAGTCCTGTATCTGTGTGTCAAAGGAAGAAATGTACATTAATAGACGTGAGGGAACAGTTTGCTCACATCTTAATCAGGTTTTCATTCTTAAACCTGTTGCTTATGAGCAGGCTTCATGTTTAATTGGGGATGTCAGCTATCAGAAGGTTGGAAAATATTTCGGTACTGTTTTTATTTGCCGGCTTGTCCAAATTCCCTTTATCGGTAATTGGCAAATGATGGTGTCTCCATACCTAATTTTTCTGATAGATCCTGGTAACACCCAAAGAGCTGTTTTTTTTATCTGTTCCTCTGTAGTTAAGATGGGAAAATAATTGCTTTTTTATGTGATGGAGTGACTCCGTTTTAAGGAGGACAGTAACCTTGAGAGATATGCTGCCTTCTAGCCAAAGCAAAGCTATCCATCAAAGCTTATATTCTGGCTTTCTCTTATCTAATGTGATTGGTACATATGGTGCTATCTGGCAAAATTGAGCAACCATTTGGTGCAAGAAAATACAATGATGTAACTCGGTAGCTTTGCCTGTGTGTTGGTTTCAGAACACACACACACACACACACATATATATATATATGTGTGTTATATATATATATATGTATATGTATATATATATATATAAAATATAGATGCAGCTATTCTATTTTTAAATATAAAATATAGGATAAATTTCTGTTATTGCCTAACAACAGAATTTTAATGTCTGCTTTTTAGCATTTCCAACATTTTAGCATTTTTATACTGAAAATGTATATATGTGCATATCTAATATTTAATAATTGGATTTGCCCTCCTGCCCGTATTTAAGTGAATACTTTCCTTTTTTGGAAATTTGATCAGTGTAGAATTAAAATAGACAATTAGATGTGCTATAATAGGAAAGACGGAACATTTAACTTTTACATAGCACAATTCTTCAAAAGTCTACATGTGGGTATTGTGTCCTTGCCAGTTCTAAAATAAATCAATGTTATTTTTTTCCCCTTAGTATTACGAAATGTCGTATGGGTTGAATATAGAGATGCATAAACAGGTAGGCAAACTAGATTTTGACTCTTGTCTTGTGGTTAAAAAACTGTTTGTTGTATTTTACTCAATTCTGCAAAATGTGATTGTTTCAGCAGACTGAGGGAGCCAGTCTTAATTATTTTATGAGACAAACCCTTCTAGCTATGCCTAAGAGAAACTGTTGTGTTATATTAACAGCTCTCTAAATACTGTCTTCTTTCAAGTATTTGTTGTTTGCAAAATCAGGATTGTAGGTTAAAGTTGATTATTGTCAATTTTTGCTTTTTGATGCATATACCAACTCCCACCCTAAAGTAAATCTAGCGTGAATGAGTAGTTGTCTTTATTTTAAGTGAAACAATATGTAAGTAGATAAACTGATCGGGATACGTAGATTAAAAATGTTGCCAAAAATGAATTGTTGCTTCTTCCTTCCTTCCTTCCTTCCATTCATTAATTTATTTACTCAATCGTGCATGCATCTGTCTCTTTTAGAACCAGATATAGTTCATGTAAATGATTCCATGCTGAAGTTTAGTCCTGGATTGCAGTCTAGCAGTTTGGCTAAGTTTAATAAGTTGTTAACTGATTAAGGAGCATAGCCTCATTGATAACAAATGGAAAAATTTCCTGACATAGACCCAAATATTTTGATTAGCTTTACAATGAGAAATTATTCAGTTTCTTTATTACCATGATTTTATTTTAAAAGCATTCCTAAATAAAGTTACTTTTTAAAATCCTCCTAAAACAAAGAAGTGTGGCAAGGGAAACATCTGACTTATTTGATCAGTAGCGAATTCTAAACTTGAGAACATTTAACTTGAAATTCTACTTGTGAGTTCATCCTAGAATTGCACAATTTATGAGGATAGTGTAATTAGAAACTTGTTACACTGGCCAAAAAGTGATTTCATAATGTGTTGTATTTCAAATCACTGTCTTGCGATATAATGAACTGTGTACTATCAATATTTAATTGTCTCTAGTTCAGTGTTGGAAATATGCACAGCTTTTGAAATTAATACTTAAGTCAACAAATGGGTACTGTAAGTGACATCAGGTGCATGACCTTTTATGAATGTTGTCTTTAACAAAGGGAAACTTTTTGCTGAAATTAATTCAAAGTTCAGCCTTTTATCTTTTTAATGCGCTCGAATAAATGACTATAACTTGTATAAATAGGATGATTGCCAAAACCCATATGTATCATCCATGTATAGAGTTTTCCACAGGTTTTCCAAATCAGCTACCAGCCAGTTGTCCCACGTTATATTTACACTAAGTAGTTAAATACATGTACTGAAACTTTCTTTAAAATATCTGTTAGAAATAAAAGGTTTGGATGCAAAATCACTGAGGATTCTTGAAGCAGGGTGGGAAAAAAATGGCACTTTTTAACTTATATTTCCAAAATCTTACTTTGTAAACAACCTGTATTACGGGGTTGAGAAACTTCTCCATTTTATACCTACGGTGGTTTTGATGGAGTGGGTTAAATGAGGCTACCATTTCCTCTACTTACTCTCCTTTCTATAAGATTAGTGATATAAATGCTGCATCTTCACAAAACACAAAGTCTTAATACTTTTCCATCACATGCTGTAGATGAAATGCTTCATGGAAGGATAATTTTTTTTTAAAAAAAATCTTTGTCCACCTCTCCCTGCTGTACAAGAAGAGGGTTTGGTGATATGGATTCAAATATGTTTCCCCATCCAAGCTTCGGCTGTGGCTGTAACATTCTTTTCCGACCTTTTTCATCTGATATTACAGAAATACTGAAGGCCGCCCTTTCAAAACCTTCAAGCCTCCACCTTAAATCCCTCCATCTTGTTCTTCCTCTCCTGATCTCCCCCCTCCCCTCCTCCACCTCCTACAACCCAGTTCAGACTGACTGATCTGCTTTGGGGATTATTTGTGGGTTTTGTTTTTCAATTCAATCACATAAAAAAAAAAAAAATCCTGAGGGCAGTTTATCACATTATGGAATCCTTGCAGCTCAGCAAACCACCAACTTATTATATTTTCTTTCTCCGTGCCCCTCCTCCATCTCCCCACGCCCCAACACAAAGCCGAAAGACCTATCCATCTTTATTTGTTTTCCTAGGCAGATAGCCTTGGTTTCTTTTAGCTTCTTTTCCAGATGTAGTGGCTGGATGCCCTTGTAATGGAAAGCAGGCAATAATGCGGCTGAGTTGCCCTGCGGCATAATTGGGTCTAGTTCTCTAGATAAGGTTAGGCTTATTCGCTTATTGGATTTGCGTCTCAAAAGTGGGGCTCCCTGGAGTCCCTGAAAGTACCCTAGTAATTGGTGACCCTGATATTTGAAACCTTTGTGTATTTTTTTTTTTTTTTTCTGTTGAGGCATCTGTTCTTCTTGGCTGCTCCCGGCCACAGAGTATTTATTTTTAGAGAAATTTTTCATTGGAACCGAAAATGATTGCTGTGCTGGTGTCAAACCTCTGTGATTTACCAGATTGATCAAAGGATAAATGCATAGAGCATTCTCCCTCCCTCTCTTTCTCTCTCTCTCTCTCCCCCTCCCTCCCTCTCCCTCTCTCTCTCTCCACATGCACTTCAGGGTGGGGTGAAAAGGATGTGGTGTGGTTGCTTGCCTTCCCCATCTCTTTTGCTAGGCTGATCATCAGTCATCCCGTGTTGGTTTTGATAGAAGACTATTAAAGTGAAACCTATGGGGAATTTGTCATTCTGAAAGGAAAGCTAATGTAATTAGTACCAATTAAAGTACATTTAGTAAATTGGATTTAATCTTAATTAAGCCTGCATAATGTTGCCAATTTTTAACAATTATGTTTGAGAACATAATTAATTTAGATTTTGGTAACTGGGTAAATAGCATTAGACTGATAAAATGAATTCTCTGAATTATTTTGGTCTTTTTTTAAAAAAATAATAATAATAGAAACTAACAACCTGGTGTGTGGTATAAAAACTTAAGTGTTTAATTTGTGTTTAATTTTTCTTTTCGGCAAAGTCTGCTGACACCAGTAAGTTGCCCTAGAGGCATTTAAGGGTCTCAGATTGGGGCACAGGGGAGGGGGAAATTGCATGTTTTTGCTCCAGAATTGGGCAGAGAATGCCACTGTTTCTCCTTCTGACTGGATACTGTTAAAGCTATGAATATATTTATCTCTGTTGACAGTACCTTGAAAATTCTCTAGATCTCTCCCCTCCCCAATATTTTATGGCTTATGAATGTAAAAAGCAATATGTGAATGTGGTTTGCCAGGATAGAAAGGTATGAAAAAATAAATGGTTTGGGATATGCTATAGATTTTTGCTACAATTCCCTCCCTTTTTCTTCTCACATGTCTGAATTCCTTTGGCTCATCTTCCCCCCCCTCCCCATTTTCTGAGCTTTGCATAATGGTGCTTATTCCAAAAGGGAATACTGTGTGATGGGCATACATATACGGGTACGTGTGCCATATATTATAGCTTTAAAAAAAAAATCAGGATTTTGTTGCATAAATTTGAATGTTATTTTTGTTATGCTAAGTAGATTGTCATACTGCATAAAAATATTCTAAATCAGAGTTTGTGGGTTATTCCCTTATAATGAGAATCAGCACTTGGCTACAGATAAGACACTTGCAAATAGGACTGGTGGGAAGTCAGTTAAATTAATTAGACTTGAAGGAAATCTCAAACAAATCTCTCTCTCTTTATTTTGTCTTTGAAGAAATCAGAACTTGAAGCTGGGCATATTTTGAAAAACCATTTCGAAGGAAATTTCATTCAATCCATTCTTTGCTCCTTTTCCCCTTTTTGCACCAATCCAAGTAAATTTTCTTCCAGGTTTTAGGCAACAATCTTTGGAGTGCTACTAAAATATTAATTAGGCTGAAATGAAAGGGCTCTGGCCGGCTGATAGGATATCATAATCGTAGCTGCCGCATTTGATGGTAAATGATGATAAATGGCATTAGGAACCTTTTAGCAAACTGTAATAACTACACAGAGGGAAGTGGTATGGATTTGCATTATATCTGATACCCTCTGGTACCAAGTGGATTGCCAATACTGCTTGTTTAGCATTTTCTAAGGGCAATAGGATATTGATTTCTGACTTACAAGGAACAGCTCTATTTTCACCATTGAAAAGTATTGCGGGTTGTTAAGACGAAATAGACTTGAAGAGGCCTGACTGCTGCCCATCATGGAGCGAATAAAGCAAAACTGCCAAAGCATGGCGGTGCAGTGAGATGGGGCCCTCAGCAATTTGTTGCTATTAATTTACCATGCTCGACAGCAAATCAATCGGCATCTACTTCATCTGCTGGAGAAAATGCTGTCCAGGGCAGATAAAAGGCCCCGGCGTAGTACAGGGAATAGGCAGGATTGGTCAAGCGGAGGCGGCAGTTAATGTGTAAATAAGTGAAATCAAGGCTGCTGTTGCTGCAGAGGAAGCTGTTTTTAATTAGGTTGGGGGCTTTTATATGGAGCTATTTAAGAAAAGAGCGGAGTAGAGCAGTGGAGGGTTGAGGTTGCGGGGGGGGGAGGGAAGGGGAGAGAGGAGATTTATTGCTGACGGCGGTTAATATATGGTTTGTATGACAACCTAGCCTTGAGTCCACTTACTGCTTGGGCTTGGGTGAATTATTGCATCCAAGACTTAGATGGGAATCCATTTATTTAATTTAGAACCAACCAACCACTCTTGTTCAGCCCTGAAGCTATAGGAGGCTGGTTATTGAGAGCAGCTGGTATACAGGTCCTTGACTTACAGCCATTTGCTTAGTGACTGTCTGAAATTACAACAGCACTGAAAAAAAAAAGACTTATGACCAGTTTTCACATGACTGTTGCCTCCCCACAATCAGGTGATCAAAATTCAGGCGCTTGGCGACTGGCATGTATTTATGATGGTTGCACTGGCCTGGGGTCATGTGATCATTTGCAACCGGATCTCCGAACTGCTTAGAAAGTTAACAACCGGTTCTCCTGAATAGGTGCGAACTGGCTGAATCCCACCACTGGGTGTAACTCATGGGCTTAGAG